CTCCTGAAACTATCGATCGATTTATTGAGCGCAAAACATGCATAGTAAATCAATATAGCAGATATGTTGTAGCTCAAATCAATCGAACAGTAATGACTTAAATACTTAATCATTCATTTTTATTTTAATTAAATTTCAGCTAAATGGGAATCAAACTCAAGGTGAAAATATTGCTGATAATGGTGGAATTAAAGAATCATTTTATGTAAGCTCTATTTTGAATTTATTTCAAGAAAGAACGAAAGAAAATAAAAAGAATTAGTATAATGTTAAGTCAAAAATTATTTCCCTCTAGACATATAAGAAATTTTTATCAGCAAAAGATGATAAAAGTTTTATCTGGTTTAAAAAATGATTCTACTGAATAATTTGTTTATATGGAATGCTCGACTTTGTTGCTACCGGCAATATAATGATTATCTGGGTTATCTTGAACGATTGATTGAAAAACAATCGCACGGGTATGCGATCGATGATGTTCAATAGAAAACAAAAACGTTTTCTTAAATAGTTTTTGTCTGTGTGTTATGTATTTCGATTGTTTGTCATATTATGCATCCTTATTTTCCTTGTTGCATATATATATATATGTATATATGTTTATAGGCTTATAAAAAGTGGGCTGGAGCGCAAGAAAACGTTGATAAAAAATTACCTGGCCTCACTAAATATTCGGCGGAACAAATGTTTTTTATTAATTATGGGCAAATTTGGTGTTCGAAAATGACTGACGCAAATGTGTTGAATAGAATTTTAACAGGTGTTCACTCACCGGGAGAATTCAGGTATATTATTTTTACGATAGATAATTACAGTAGTGTATTTTTCATTAACCGATCCGATGAATTCAACAGAATAGAAAAGCGCAAGAAATTCATTCTGCGATTAGTCAGCATTATTTATCGATTTTAAAATACAGTTAGTTATTTGAATTTCATCTAAGGTGGGCACAAAAAGATTTAGATACGAGATAATTTTTACTATTATCCTAAACAATAGTAGCTAGAACAACTCTCAAACAATGTTTTAGTAGCTGATGCAATTTCGTATTGGAAGTGATACCTGTCAGGTCCGACTAACATATTTGGATAAAAAGTCTCTTGAAAACCAAGACTCTCGAAATCAGTTTTCTGAATGCGATCAAATAAGTTTTTAGAACAAGTTCATCTAATAGTGGAAATATTTTTTGAACAAAGTCAGATATCTCCGAGCTCTTCATAATCTGTCTTCAGAGAACTACACTCATTCTATGATAGAACCCACTGTATGAAACATAGCAAAATTTATATAAATCAACCTATTGCACCTATCGCATAATCATTGTCGTTCACCAAAGATGGATTGTAGACATCTTATTTTATTCAGAAAAAGCTTTCTCTATTAATTGGACCTGTTCGCTGAACATTTTTGCTAGAATTCAGAAAACTCTTTTTCTGAGTCTTAACTTTCTAGAGACATATCTCCCAAATCTTTGAATCGGAATTTCACAGGTACTTATCCTGATAAGAAATTGTCTCAGTTAATAAAGAAAAAATCTGTTAAAAATGAATATCTATATATATAATGTTCAATGTAGGGGTGGTGCATTAGAATTAGAATTGGCATTTATTAATACTAATGCTAATGCTTT